AGGGGGGGTCTGGGGCGCCGTCTCGCTCCCCGCGCTGCCGCCTGCGCCGTTTTGCCGCTTCAGGAAGGGTCCCACGGCGCGACCCGCCCCGCTCCGGAGCCCCTCGCCTCGGTGGCTTCATTTCATGCCACTTCAAGTCCTTGGCTTGCCACATGGGCCAGAAGCCAGATGAGCGCCTTTCCGCCTTCCCTCCGCTGCGCCTCGCGGCGGGCAGAGCGCTTGTGCCGCGCTTCGCTTTAGGCCGGAACACTCTTTACTACTGGGTGCAATCCAGCTTCCGAATTCAGTGGAAACCACAGGCAACGTTGAGATCCACAGCTTCCTGTTCCAAGCTAAATTAAAAATAGATACTAATGTGTTAGGCTGATGTTTATTTTAAATAAGTCTCTGAACGTTGGGGTAATTCTGAGAGGTTGAAAAAAACGCTCATCTGTACCAACATCCAAGAGGTCAAGCGTAGAATGGGGTAAATAGAGGCCGTGCGAAACACAGAGTGACTATTTATGATGTTCAGCTACTGGAAAACTAAATCACAGGAGTATAAATAATGGAAGTCAACATGTTTTTATGAAAAATTGTAAAATAAATCACAATTTCTTTAGCAAAGGCTAAATCGAGTAGATACATTTGGATAGTAAGACACGACGAGTACCACTTCATAGGACTGTGATTACAAAACTACCGTGATACAGTATCAAAAGTAGGTAGTAGATGCCTTGCAAAATTACTAAAAGCCACCTCAAAAAGTAGCAGGCGCTGGGGTATTTCCATGATAAAAGAATCTTTTCAGAGGACTGGATCAGGACAGCCCAGTGACTGGTACAGTTCTCACCATTAATCAATTCTTTCAACAGTGTCCTAAAAGGAAACAAAATTATTGCTCATAAAATGAGATAAAAAGGATTAGCAACATTGTTAAACGGTGATAAGTAAATCATCCAGAATGACCAGTGCCTTTCAAAAACTGTGCCCATTCCGTCAAAATGTTTCCCCCTTGAAGCGTAAAATCTATGCAGGTGCTTTGCAGCCCAAATGGAAAAAATGGGAAGGGGGAAGTGGAGGGAGGGGGTCGTACTCTGGAAAGCAGAAACTCGGGAAAGGTCGGTGACTCTGAAAGCAGCCTGTCTGAACAATTCAGTGTGAGATCCCAGCAGCATGCCGTCACAAAGATGCCAAAAGTGCGTATTTGTGTAACCACGGAAAAAGTGAATAGAGTAGAATGATGACTTTGCCACAGTTTCAGACAAGGGAATATCCAGTTTGAAGACAGTGGATGAAGTTCTGATATTTACATTTTTTAAAAGGGTGTAGAAAATCACTCAGGCTGCCTGACAACTGAAAAATAATACTGAGAAGTAAGTAAGCTGCCTCAGCAAGAGACTCAAGGAGCTCACTTGTTTAGTGTAGTGAAGAAAGACGACTGACTTGTATAAAGGTCTTCACAGGGAGAAAATGCTAAATATCAGACAGCTTTTTAATCAGACAAAACAAGAACGATGGCTACACTCAGGATCCAGACCTGTTCAAATGGGGGAAAATGTTTGCAAATGCAGAGGCATAGAGCTCCTGTAACCCAGGGAAGTAGCATATTCTCCATTTCTTGAGGTTTTCCCACAAAACTGGCAACAAGTCATTTCCAATCAACTTACTGAAACCCTCTCTCAGCTAGATTCACATTAGTTGCAAAATTTTTTCATGCTGCTCTTCCCTGGGGAGAGTCACAGACCCAGAAAAGTCAACTGCCTGTGAATTACAAGATTTATGCCTTGGGAGATATGGATTCAGTCCTTGCCTCTGCCAAACAAGATTTATATGCCATTGAACTAGTTACGTAACGTAAGCGTCATTTTACCTAGTTTTAGGTATCTAAACGCTAGATGTCTATTTATCATGTAAATGTCTGAAGCGTATTTATCCTCAGCATCTCTGTCAGCCAGTGGAGAAAAGCAGGCACCGTTGGAGAGCCGTTCCTCTGACAATTCTCAAAAAAATCACTATACAATGAGGAATTTCATGTTTTGAAGAAACCTCTATGCTGATTGAAGGAAGGCAGGAATGTGACTGGCATAGACTTGGACAACACTCTACACATACAAATAAAGGAATGTCTGCCTTAGCCTCTGCTGAAGAGGATATTAATATTTATAAGCTGCTGTGAAAATAATACCTTAGAGACCTAATATTATTAGGAAATACATGAATAGCTATGATAAATGGTATCAAGAAATCACAGTGTCAAAATTTTTGCAAGGCTGTAGGGTGAAGGAAAAGTGAATCTAGAGATAGTACAGGACAATATTCAGACTGTAAGCCACATCTCTGAATGCCACCAAGAAATACTGAGGGTACTGAATCCATGTACACTTTCCTTAATGGAAAAGACAGCTCAAAAGACCTCTTTCCCAAACGATTTTTTTTTTTTTTTTTTTTCCCATTTTAAAGGGTTATTTTTTCACCAGCCTGGCTTTCAGGATGGCAACAAAGTTGTACCAGCACAGCTGATGGGCCATGAACTACCATGAGGCAGTAAAGGCTTTTTAAACCAGATTCACCATGGGAGAAAAAGACTGTGGAGTTACAGTATAATGCAGAATAGTTAAAGATGCAAATGAAATTCCAGTGTAGCTCTGAAACGGCACAGAGGAGTAGAGCTGAATCAGGTAAGAGAGTTGATCCATATAGCAATCATCTTACGACATGGAAGAAAGGTTATGACATTTCTCTTGACCAAAAGGCAGAGTCTTTCTCATCAACACAAACTCTGGAGACAACAGCTCAAGTGACCACCCTGAATAGCAACGTAAGGAACGCACAGTAGTGAGTTTCCTGTCGGCTTGTAGGAACAAATCCTTTCATAAATAATATATCCGTGTTGTATTTTCTTTGGATTTGATCCCAGCAGTCCGATGGGGAGGAAGCATTGCACTTCCTTTACAGTAAAGCTTAATCAATACACCGAGAGATCCATTCTGCAGCCGTTCCTTATACCGGGAGAGTTCACTCCTCGAACAGTAGTCAGCAGGA